AAGTGTTGTTGCAGACAAAGCTCCAGTGAGAAGAAAAAGGAGAGGTCAGAGGAGCTGAAGGCTGCAGCACAGCAGGAGCACAGTGTTTGGAAGTGACACATTGACAGAAACACCCTGCACAGCTGTTGGGATTTGCATGTTTCTGTTTATAAAGGTCAAAGAGCTTTGGAACTGTGCTTTCCAAACCTGAGTTAGTTTGGTTCAGAATGGTTCTGAATTTAGCACTGATAGAAACTCCAAAGCTGTGATAACTGGCAGGTGAAAGCTGTGGGCAGCAAAGGCAAGGAGGCAAAAGGGGTCCCTGCACAGCAGAACAGGAAATGATTCCCATGAAATGCTCCCGAAGTGGGGAAGGTGGGCAGTGCAATGAGGAACATCTGCATTTGCAGGTTATTCTGCTTTCTTTAGGACCTCAACCAGTGCAGCCAAATTCCAGTTCTGGATTTACTGTTCTATTTGTTCAAATTAGAAACTACAGGTGATTTGAGACACAGATCCTTGATATTTCTTTATCAACTGTTTTTGAAAATTGCTCACATCCTCTCACTGCCTGTCTTGGGATTTGATCTATTTTGATGGAATTTCAAGCGACATTTGCTTTTCTCTGGTTATTTCAGATACAACAGGAACGGTCAGACTTTAACAAAATTGGGTCCCCACAGGGCTATTGATTAGGACAGACAACCTGCACAAATAACTTGTCCATTTATCTTCCTAAACTTTGTTCCATGAGTGGTTTTATTCACTGGAAATCAAGGATATATAGTCCGTGTAGTGTCACAGAGCCTGTGCCAGTTCTTTGAGCCAATTCCTTGAGCCAAGGAACTTTTCTGCTGTGAGATTTTAGTCACTGAGAGCTTGACCCACCTGGTGTAGGAGGATTCTGGCAGAGGCTGAGGACCTTTCAGTGACTGATATTTTTGCAACAAGCATCTTTTTGAGGTGTTATCTCTGTCTCAGGAGTAAGACACAGCCACAGGAGTAACCAGCAGTGCTGTTAACAAGCAGCAGAGCTTGTTATGCCCTTTCTCCATCACTCAACAGCTTGGCTGGACCAGAATTAGAGGGCTGGAAACAAAAATATATCCTGGGAGTGGATAAAGGGTCATTAATGGACATCAGTGCAGTGGGGGAGGGCCAGGCAGGACCACTGAGCCAGGTGGGGCTGTTATGGGGGGGTTTTCCTAGGACTGTACATGGATCTTGCACCTCACATCTACATCTCTCTGCCTGTCTGCCTCTACACCAGTGAACTTCCTTGAGTCAGATCTCTTGATAAATGTGTAGAGAAACTTCTCCAAAAGGGATGTGTTATAAGCTCTGTGGATTAGCTCATTGGGGAATGAGATGGAAACCAGCCCTGAAAATGCTGGGGAAATGGGGATTACATAGATCATCCTATCAGCCATCTGCAGATGGAATAGCCTGCATCCTCTGTGGCTGGGAAGATGATCTGGACAAAGTGAGCATTAGGGAAGCAGGAGAAAGAAGATGGAGAGAAAAGCAGAACAATGGAGGTAACTGAGGTTGTTCGAGTCACTTGTGTTCCAGTCATGCCCAAAGGAGCATGGTAAGGATTCAATCTCTCCTGCACAAGTGAAACAGAAAAGATCAACACCCAGATCTGCTGTCTTTGATGCCTTTGGGGTCTCTGAGCTTAGTTTTGCACTCCTGGAACCTGAAAACCATTTACTTAGCTCTGGATCTCTTCCAAGACAGTTTTAGAGCTCTTGTTGTGTCCCACTCTTGCTTCCTCACTCTTTTTCTGATGTCAGCTTGTTCACTCAAGACCTGGGAATAATTTCTGAGCTGGGAGCATTGCAAATGCCAGCAGTCTGGCTGCATGCATTTTCCTAGAGTCTTTCATATGCTAAAAACCTCTCTTTGTGTTCCTTGGGTTGGAAATAGCACAATTAGCCATTATTCTACAGTTATAGTCTGGTTCATGTCCTAGTTTTATTCCAGTTTCTGATCACTGAATCCTATGGAGGGATAACATCCTCCTAAACAGCCTCTAAGATGTAATAACCTGCCTAAGAAAGAGCAGTAGATGTTGTTTCCTAATTTCTCCCCTTAGACTTTAAAAGGAAGCACATCAGAAGCAAAACCAAGAATTTATTTGAACTTTAACCTAAGAAACTATTTATGCAACATGTGAAGAAATGTAGTTAGCAGTGTATGAAAACTGCTGTGACATTACCAAAGCCAGGGTCCTGCCCTAGCCCAGCTTCTCCCCCGACAGCAGGACCACCTTTGTAACTGGTTTGAGCTGACACTTCAGGGACACAACCACATCCTGAGCGCTCCTAATCACACCCGATACTTCTGATGTGCTAATGGAGCTCTTTCCTCCTCCTCCTCCTCCTGCATGGCAGGGCCATTCTGCCCAGGATTTCATGTCCTGCTCTCTTGCAGTGGAAGTGCCACGCTGCCCTTGAGACACTGCCCTTCACACAGTGTGCACTGGCCTTAACTTTGAGCAGAAAAGGTGAAAATTGCAGATGAGCCCTTTGCTGTGAACAAAGGACAGCCTGTCCCCACTGAACTTTCCAGTACTTATTCTTATTCTTATTCTTATTCTTATTCTTATTCTTATTCTTATTCTTATTCTTATTCTTATTCTTATTCTTATTCTTATTCTCTTTAAAAGAAATTCTCATTCGTCCCCTAATTCTTATTCTGTCCTTAAATCTTTCTCAGTTCTGGTGACTCCAAGCCATCCCTCCTGCCCTCAGGGTCCAGCAGCAGCTCTTGCTGCCCAGCCACCCTGCCTTGGCTTTGCCCCCGTGTTTGCTGGGGGATGTCAGCAGAGACTCGAGCTGCTGCTGACTCCATCCCATTTGGAAACTGCTGGTTTTACTGCTAAGAATGTGCCTGCACAGCCAAGCCTCCCACCTGCTCTGCTGCTAGTGATTCCCATGTGCTCAGGAGGATGAAGAGGAGGAGGAGGAGCGGGGGGAGCTCTGAGCAGCTGTTGTGGGCATTGCTGTGATACCATGTCCCTGACCCAGCAGTTCCCAGGGTCGGAAGGCTTCCAGCCTCACGGTCCGTTTGTCGGTCAGGATGTGGGAGGTGCGGGCAGGGCAGCCCCGCTGTGCCCCAGCCCTGCGCACTCTGCAGCTGTGCCGCTGATGCGCCAGACCTTGAAGATGTTCGACTGTTTGTTTTCCTTTCATTGCCATAAGCAAACTCACTGACTGTGAAAAGGGATAAATTAGCATCTCCAAAGGCTGAGTCTCTCTTCATTCTGAAAACAAGCAGCGAGGAGCAGCAGCTCGGCTCCCTCATCCTCCCTCCCACCCCGTGCTGTGCCAGCACAGCTCTTTGTAGAACTGGCCCAAACCATGGCTGCTCTGCTTTCTTTGCGAGCCAAACAGATTTTAAGCACTTGGCTGAGCCTGTGAACACGGAGGTCAGTTGTCATTTCTTAGATAATGCCTCACAGGCTGATGGTTGTGTTGATTTTTAACCTGTGCTGTTCCGGCTGAGTGCAGTAACTTGTATTTCAAAGAAGTCTCTAAACCTCGTTGTTTCTGTTCCAGCCTTGCTGTCACAAGGCTGAGCAGCTCTGTGCTGCTCACTGAGCCATGTGGCAGCAACGAGCCCCGTGTGCCAGGCCACCACACAGGGGTGACACACACATCTCACCTGGGCTCTCACCTGGGCTCTCACCTGGCTCTGGCTCCTACCAGGACCTTCTGTGCTGGTCCCCAGGCAGTTGTCTGCCTCTCTTGGTGTGCATTCCCCTAAATTCAGGGCAGGGTAAACTTCCCACTGCCCAGACAGTCTCAGGCGTGCTGATCCCAGCTGCGGGGTGTGGAGGAGGTGCTGGGATCCCAGAGCTGCCAGCCTGGGCTTTAAGTTGTGCTCTCACAGCAGGTCCTGGGGCAGATGGATTTTTAGACCACATCTGCCTCCATTTGCACTGGTAAAATGTTCATAATCCCTTCTGCCTCTGAGAGCTCTGAAGGAAGCAGGGAGACACTGGGCTGTTCCCCAGAGGATGGGAATGGTGAGCCAGACCAAAGTGAGCTGGACAGACTGAAACACAAGGACTTTCACCTCAACATGAGGAAAAACTGCTTTAAGTGAGGGTGGCAGAGCACTGAGGCTGCCCTGGGAGGTCACAGAGTCTCTCTCTCTCTCTCTAGGACCTAAATAACCTGCACAGGTGACCCTGGCACATTTCTTTATTATCCTGACATCATCCTGGATTTCTGTTCTGGCTTCTCCACATCTAGGTACCTTCTCCATCTGCACCAAGGGTTTTACAGCTCAGGGTAACCTTCTGCTGTTTTGCAGAAGCCATAACTTGGATCCAGGGAATTTCCTCACCCCAAATCCTCCCTCCATTTGCCTGATCCTCATTCAGCCCCAGTCTCCACAGTTTCTGGAGGGCACTGGACAAAGTAAATCTGTATAAAATCTGCATCTTCTGTGCTAATGATCACTGTTGGTCCCAAGCAGTCATTTAAGCCTTTCCAGATTCTCTGCCTTTACCAGCTGAACACAGACCACATCCTGCACAGGTATCCCAAATTTGGAACTTTATTTATAAAATGACTCGTACAGGGACACACAGTCCTGAAAGACTTCAGCCTGACAGGGCAAAATTACTGGGCAGGGCACAGTGAGGCTGCTGAGGGTGCCTGGAGCTATTGCCAGGGGCTGGTTTGTGGATGCAGAGCCCCTTTCTGTGCTGCTTTAGGGACAAGCTCGTGTTCTTACACTGCTGAGTATATACCAATGAATGCCACCATGCTATGTACAGACTTTGATAAGAACTTTTCCCCTAAATTAGATGGAGGAGATGAAAATTGCTTGGCAAAACAATGCAACTGCAGAAAGGATTCCCCGAGAGCTCAGGAGCAGCTCAAGTGTGGACACGCAGTGAATTATTCAAAGGGCTGCCTCCATTTCTCTGCTCTCTCCTTCCAGGTGAACTAAAATCCATAGAGGGGGATAGTGGGACAATAATTTTTTTCCCTTTGGTGCTATATTTATATCATTCCTGCCAGCCACGGTGGGAGAAAGAGCCCAACAGTTCCCAGCAAGCACACAATGATGAACATCCAGAGGAAGATCCTGTCGATGACCATTGCAACGTACTTCCAGTCTTCCTTCACCTGGAACACAGAGGGGACAGGCCAATTATTAACATTTATCTGGAAATTAAAATGTAGAGCTTCACTCTAAAGTAGGATATTTTCATATAATTCCAGAAATAGAAGGGAGAGGTCTCACTCACACTTAGTGCTCCTATAAAATGGCAAAGGTTTATTCCATCAATCACCTGAGAGATTCCCAGACTGCAGGGATGTGATTTGTGAAGTCACAAATCCCTATGGATAACACCCCCCTGAGGATAATTAGGGTCATCTGCACACTCCCTCTCTCATTTTGCAGCAGCAGCAGCTGTAACTGGGTGTGTAAATGAGGCTGTGATTCAAGCTGGGGTGGTAAGGGGTAAGAAATTACTTGTTTCCCCATGCTCATAAAAAGATTTGCTTACAAATTAACAAAGCCAAACTCTTTCTGTGAAAGGATTCACAACTTTGGGTGAATAAGCAGTGAAAATGAGCCAGCAAATAAAAGTGCCCTCACCCTCCTTTTCCTCCATTTTTGCCTTGCTGTGGGAGAATTTTCCAGCAATTTTTCTCTGGGGAGGTCCAGTACCATGAGGCAGAAATGGTAAATGACTGCTTCATTAAGAAACCATATATACATATATATGTATAGATATGAAAACTTCTCTTATTACATTGCTGCTATTAATTTCTTTCCCAGAAAGAGGCCTGAGCAGATGGTAAAGTTCTATTTGATATGACTGTACCCATTATGATTGCCTACAATTTCCCACTTGGTGATTAATAGACCCGAGGGCTGAAATTCAGCACGCTGCCTTGTTCTTTGGGGAAAACATCTCAGCAAGAGCCCACTCAACCCTCCCCTGTGTCTGTGAGTGTGAAAGGAGAAAGGGACAGCAAAGCTGCCAGAAATGCATTTTGGTAAAGGAAGCAAAGCAGGTATCAGTGAAAGGCCATTTGCAGCAGAGGATGTTTCCACAGGTACAGTGGTGTTGCTGAGCTCCTTGGCTCAGTGAGCAGCTTTGTGAGCTGGGAAATGAGGCACACACTGGAGACCATATTATATTTTCTCTGAACAAAGCATTTTCAATTTCAAGAATACCTGAACGTTGTCAAAAGCATAAGGATGGGTTCAATGTTTTCATTCAATGGATTGATTTATTCCTTTTAAAACCAGCATTGAGTAAACCAGCCTTTACTGCTGAATAGGCAGAGAAAATAACCAGGTTCATCCTACATCTTGTCACCTCATTGGGAAAAATCATGTTGTCTTATGATTGTACAGGCCTCTACACAACCATCTGTAATTAGGGTAAGTAAAAAAAAAATACTGACCTTTAAAACCAAAAGGAATTCTCTCATCCCAAGCTTCTATAATTTCCTTGGGTTGTGAACTGTAATTTATTCCAATTTATAAGGTCATGTAGTGACAGGACAAGGGAGAATGGCTTTAAACTGAAATAGATATTTTAGATTAAAAATCAGGACGAAATCCTTTACTGTGGGGGTGCTGAGGCCCTGCACACATCAGCTGTGGCTGTCCCTGCCCTGGAAAGTTCAAGGGCAGATTGGACAGGGCTCTGCTTGTGGCAGGTGGAACGAAATGAGCTTTAAGGTCCCTTCCAACCCAAACCATCCTGTGATTCTACAATTCTGTAATAAGAGCTCAGAGGATAACTCCTTTTACTGCATCTATTTTCTGACCTATTCATCACTTGCTGAGAGTTGGAGCCTCTGATGCTTAAAATTCCTCATGAGAAAGACATCTAAGCAAGCCCTGGATTATTGTTTTATGGGATTAATGTCTTATGATGTAACCAATGTATAAAGCAGATCTGAAATTTCCCACCTAATGTTCAGATGGAAAGCTGGATTGAGTAAATAATGTCTCATTCTGGTAAAATAACTTTCTTTGAATATTTATGCTAGTAAAAATAAGTGCTAGATTGCACAAAGAAAAGAAACTTGATGAGTTTCTCTGTGAGAAAAGAAGGAAGTGGGGGAAGAACAACTCGGACAGGAATTTGCTTTCTAATGTAATGGTGTCTGCAGAAATACTGAGCCCATCTTGAAAATGATGGCTGGGAGTGCATCAGATATTTGTAAAATCAATATCCAGCTTCAGACTGAGAGCACAGAGGGTGAAATTGGAAATTATGGGGAGATAATGAAAAAAAAAAAAAAGAAAAAAGAGGATGAGGGAGAGAAAATGATCTGGATTTTTTGGTTTTGTGTTCTGCCACAATTGTAGCATTTCCTCATGGTCCAGCAGCCCACGTGGAGTCTGATCTGCACACGTCTCTGACATTCGTGCAGCTGCCAACATCTGCCACCACAACTCCTGACCTCTGTTTTGATCAGTTTTAAGAAGATCACTCAAAATTATTTTTGGGAAGCAATCAGGGGAAGAACCAGCTGACTCCCCCACTCTCAAACTGCTGAAAAGTGGGAATGTGCAGCTCTTCCCTGGTGCAGCTCCTGGTGGGTCTGAGCCTCAGGATTTGAGTGGAGGTTGAGGTGTCTTGGTGACATCTGATCCCCAGGACCCAGAGTGTGCCACACAGATTAGAGCAGTCCCAGGTGGTTTTATTGTACTTTGTTAAAAATAACCCTGTGAGATTATCCTGTTTCCTCCCCCTCAGCTTTAGTCCTTCCCATTTTATTTTTAAATGCCTTCCTATCAGAGTATTCCACAGATGCCCACAGCCATGGACAGAACGACTTCCCAGATGGTGCTGGTGGTGTCTGGTTATTTTGGCTGATGTGTCACATGGACCTTGTTTTGCCTTTCAGTCTGTAATTAATTTCTAATGGCATTTCCATCATATGCTGGGACAATTCCGCTGTGCGTTTTCCCCAGCGCCCCATTGTGCCTCGATTGTTTGCAGATATTTTTCTGTAACAAACAACTGCCTCCTGCATTTCCCATTTTCTCTTCGCTGGAGCACTTAATTAAATGAGCTATTTACTTTTAATTTAGAAGCACTGCCCCTGTGGCAATGGAGCTTTAGAAAAAAAAAAAAAAGGACAGGACTTAAAAGAAGCTCTGTTCTCCTTCTGGGAAGGTGAATGTCTGGAAATATTGCTCACAAGCCAGCGAGATGTGTCTCAGCAGCAGCACAAGAGGTACCTGCTGATAGATTTATTGAAGACTTCCATGAAGAAATGCCACAATTTGATTTTAAGATGAAAGCAAATTTCTGAGTACTGATTTTTTTCCCCCAATAAATTCTCAGTTTATTAGATCAGTTCTGCTCCTCACAGCATATTTCAGTTCCAGAAGATCATTTTCCTTCTTCTTTTCCATTTGCACTGGAAGAAAAAAAATTGTGCTTTCCTAATTTATGTTACTTGGGTCCAGAGAGAGAAAATAGTGCAGCCCCACAATGGAGTCAGCATTATCCCCTCTGTCTGAAAACTCAAGCTCTGCCTTCTATGCCAACCACAGCTGCTGTGGAACAGTGCAGAAAGGTCACCCCAAGTCCCCAGGGGAGCCCACAGCCTGCCCACAGCTCATTGCTGGATGTTTTCCTGGTGCCTTTCCTCACAGCCTGGGCTGGCAGGAGGTTGGGTCAGAGACCAAAGGCTCAAAGTTGCTCCTTTTCTTCTGCTTTTGATGTTTAGTGCTGTAAATAGCTCTCTCCTCAGGATGATCACTTAATTTCAAGAGGGAAGAACAACAGAAGGTATCAAAAGAAAATTTGTGGCTTTTGAAGACTGCTTCATTAAAAAAAATTAAGAGGAAGGAACCCAAAATATTAATTGAGTCCATTCTTGTTAACACCAACCAGCTCAGCAGGGAGAATCATTTGAAATGGGAAGTATTATTGGTGTAATATTTTTTCATTTGCACCATGGGGAAAAAAATTAAGCTAAACTCAACTGACATCCAAGGGTTTACTTGTGATTATTGCCAGAGGGAGAGAGCAGAGTTTAATTCCTGCACTCCTAATGTGCTTCTGAAGTGCTTTACTCTGGCAAGGAATTTTGGACTGGCAACTAATGAAGATGAGGATTCACAGCCCATCTCTGCCACAGATTTGTTCTGTGACCTTGAATAGGAAGTTTCTGCTTTGGCTGTAACTCCTCAACATAAGGAATTAACAGTTCCTTCCTCAAAGGGATGCTGTGGAGCAAAATCCATTGAAAAACAGAGGCCCTTAACTATGATACCAAAGAGTATAGAAATGGACAGTAGTATTTAACTTTTCTTGCTACTGCTCAGTGCTGTGAAAAATGCAAATAAAAAACACTCCGTGCTCAGGAAGTCTTGTATAAACACACTATGACTTGCACTGATTCTAAATCTCAAGAAATTTAAACTGTAGATGAAGCTAAAAAGCACCTTTTGCATACGGATCTGCCCAGGAGAAGGTAGATAAGACTTTTCTTTAATAAGGTCATTAACTTCAGGTTATCTTGTGTCTCCCTTCATTACAGCCATCATTACTAACACACACAGTCCTGCAGACAAGAGCTGCAAGAGCTGTGAAAGGATGTTGCATTTGTTATGTGCATCACTATCTCCATGAAAAAAAAAAATCCTTTCAGCCTCTACTCCCTTTATCTGTAGCCATATTTACCCCCACAGAATAAGCAGGAAATCTGTTCCCTCACCTCCCTGCACAGAGCCAACTGCTCCAGTGGAAGTCCACTAATGAGGAATCACATCAGGATAATGAGCAGAGCTAAACAGACCCTGCAGTATCCCCACACTACTACAGCTTCCCACACCTACAGCCTACTTGGGCAATTTGCTTTCCTGGGCTCCACAGTCAGTGATTAATAAAAAGCAGAGAGTGTGAATTCCCCATTTGTCAGAGGCTTAAATAAGGAATAAGTCTTTGTTCCTGTGAGATGGCTGCGTTTTTTTGGTTCTCTCACAAACCTAACTGCTTCTTTGCTGCCTAACAGCAACTTTACTCCTATTTTCTGCTGGAGAATCCATTGTTCTAGAGCAGCCCTGAGCATGACCTCGTTGTGCTGCCTCCTTGACCCTCCTTCCAAGACCCCAAGGACGCCTCCAGCCGTGCCTACAGTGCCCCAAACCCACAACAGAGGTATGGCTGAGCCTGCCTCAACATGTACACACTCTGCACAGCTCAAGGCTTGCTGTGGCTCCCTTAGCAGCTCGTTTTTGACTTTCTGAAGGAGAGCAGGCTCTGCTGGAATACTCACTGAGAAATCTGCATCCTCGGCCCGCAGGTGGTCTGCGATGTAGTGAACCCCTTCCACTGCCAGCTTCAGGGCTGGGGACATCAGCACGAGGTGCTGCTCTTTGGCTCCGTGGCTCTTGCTCCCCTGGGCTGCTGTGCTGGCCGCCTCACCCTTTTTGCACTTGCACTTGCACTGAGGGGGCTTGTGCTGGGGCTGCTCCCTGTTGAGGTGGCCCCGCTGGGACGCTGGGGAGCCACTGGAGTGGCCATTGGTCTGGGAAGAGTCCTCCTGCAGGTAGCAGTACTGGATGCTCCGGGACCTGCAGCGGATCGCCCCCTCCTCTGCCTTGCCGGGGCTGTACATCTGCTGGACACTCAGTGACCTGCCTTTCAAGACAGAGGTGGCCTGGGTGTCGCTCAGGGGGTGGCAGGAGGGCTGTGGAGAGGAGCAGGTCACCTGTACGGGCTCTGGGTGCAGCACTGAGTACTGCCCAGAGGGGGACTTGCAGATGGGCTGGGGCTTGGCTGGCTCCTCCAGGTGGGCACAGAAGGAGGAGCTGGGTGATGGCTCATTGCTCTGGGGGCTGGGCGAGGATGAGGTAGTGAAGTTGGGCTCCACGTCCATCTCGGACCAGAGCCTGGGCGCGTTGGTTATTTTGTGCATGGACTCGATGAGCTTCTTGCAGTTGTCCTTCACTGTGGAGGGACGTTTCATGAAAAGGATCCGTGGGACCACGTCCAGGAAAACCCTCCTCACCCAGTCTGGCATGGTGTGAGTGCGAGGGGAGCGGTGGTGCACGTTGAGCACGAAGACAGTGATGATGATAGACAAGGTGACAAATATCATGGTGAACAACAGGTACTCCCCAATCAGAGGGATGACCAAGGAGGTGGATGGGATGATCTCTGTGATGAGCAGCAGGAACACAGTGAGGGACAGCAGCACCGAGATGCACAGGGTTATCTTCTCTCCACACTCAGAGGGCAGGTAGAAGACCAGGACGGTCAGGCAGGAGATGAGCAGGCAGGGGATGATCAGGTTGATGGTGTAGAACAGAGGCAGCCTCCGGATAATGAAGGAGTAAGTTATGTCAGGGTAGATCTCTGTGCAGCACTCGTATTTCTTGCTGTTGTAATTGCCCACAGCGTTGATGATGACCCACTCCCCACTTTCCCAGTAGTCCAGCTGGTCCACATGACTGTGCATGCTCACCAAATCTATCTTGGCTTTGTCATAGGTCCAGGAGCCAAACTTCATCGTGCAGTTTTGCTGGTCAAAGGGGAAGAAGGTGACGTCGATGCTGCAAGAGCTTTTATAGATAGCAGGGGGCATCCATTTAATTCTCCCGTCATAGAAGAGGTGAGCTTTGGTCAGGTGGGTGACTGCAAAGTCACCATCAGCACTGGGGACAGATAGAAGATAAAAAAGGCTCAGACTTCTCTAGGACATGTCAACTCTGTTAAAGAAATAGGATATTTAGTGCCTGGCTTCCAAATGACCTGACAGATGCAAGGGGCACAGCAAGTCCAAACACCAGATCCATCTACTCTGTCCAGTGGATTTTGAGCTCTTGGCTTACTCAAGCCCTGGAATTTGTGCACATGTCAGCCTTTCCCTGGCATAAGTCAGTTCCTTGATGTGATTGTACACAGGTCTTCCCCAAAGGTGTCCCAGATGTGCTCTGGAATGGGTTGAGTTGTTTTAGAGGTGGGAGGAAGTGTTATCACATAGTGTAGCTATTGGCTCTGCAGAATTATTTGTGACAGCTGCTAAAAATGGAAGTGTTGGGTAATCACCCAGCCTTTTACGTGAAAAACAGCAAGAACATCCTATTAATAGGAATAGTGAACATTAATCTTTTGATTTCCCAGTCAGGAAGAGAATTGGCTTTTGTGGTGTCTTCCCACAGGAACTCTCAACTAGATAACAGCTCAGGAGTTTGTATTAGAATTGCATGAATAGATTGTATTTCCCAGACTTTTGGAGGAAGAACCCGAGTTACAAACAGCAGCACTGCCAGACAAAAGGCAGGCTGTGCAGGGGAAGAGAGCTTCTGCTAAAACCTTGAGATGAATTATTCAGGCTGATATAGATAGAAAGCTCTCTGCTCCCGCCCAGTGCTTCCTGCTGGAGCCAGCCCAGCCTGCAGCCACGTTCACAAAATCCCCGGGCCCTGCTCTGCTGCTTCAGCACCCAGATGTGCCCTGACAGCAGCCAGGCAGTGACAGGGGCTCCTGCCACTCTTGACCTCTCCTCATCCCCACCAGCAGCAAGATCATCAACACACGGGTGATCCAGCAGGGCTCCTCAAGCTGCAGAAGGCACAGGAACTTTCTAAATTAATTTCCTTAGGAGACCATTTTTAAGCAAAATTGAAAAAAATAAGGACTTTTTGATAGTTTAATGGAATCATAGAATCATGGAATGGTTTGGGTTGGAAAAGACCTTAAAGATCATCTGATTTCAACTCTCTGCAATGGAAGTTTCTTTTTTTTTGCCCCCCTTCCACTAGACCAGGCTGCACCAATCCCCATGCACCAATCTGGCCATGAACAATTCCAGGGATGAGACAGCCACAGCTTCTCTGGGCAGCTGTGCCAGGGCCTCACCACTCACATCACATATTTCCACTGGCCCTGTGAAACATCTAGAAATGAGACTGGTGTAGTATTGGGAAATAGTGGCAGAATCTGGCACTTGCTGAGCTGCCTTGGCTAACACAGTTTCTGGGCAGAGATGGAAACATCCCCAGTCTTCAGGATCACAGCTCAGATGTCCTTGAGACAACTTTCTAGGTTGCCTGAATTGATGGAAAAATAAACTCAGAATTCTTGTGTGATGGAGCACCAGGTTTTACTAAACTCTTCTTTGTTCTTTGTGTTCTTTGTGGCAGATTTTGGAAAAACCAAAAGAACACAAAAGGACATAGTACCTTTTGACCTCTAAAGCTCTAAAGATTTAAAACACTTAAAAAAAAAAGTGGAAACTACATACAAGACTCTCACAAAGGGATTAAGACAAAATCAGCACCGTGATCTACTCTGAAGCAAACAAACCTGAGCCACTGTACCATCCATCCAGTTCCTGTCTTACTTCTTCTTCCTTAAATCTAATTTACACTCCAGAACATGTGATTTGGATGAAAACCACCATTTATTTTTTTATTTTCTCCTGGGTTTTGCCAGGAGCACAGTAAAGCCCGATTGAGCCATAAAACATGCACAGTAAGTGACAGTCCAGTGCTTGCTGTTCTTGGTGGTTTTCTTTCTAAATCTCAATAGGAATATGGAATCTGATTCTGCATTTAATGATATCTCCAAGGCATGATTAAATTTCTCATTAATGGAGCAATATTTTTAATTGGATCTTATTAGAGAAAAGGGATTATGAGCATCCACTATGAGTGTTTCCCTTCTTAGGTAGAGCAGTGTGTAAGTGGCTGGATAAACAATGCAGGTATGCATTTCCCTTTTGATAAGTCTTGGAAAAAAAAAACCCTCTAAACTCTTGCTAAAATGGCATCCAGGTGTGATAATAATTCAAACAACTGTGTTTCATTCCCAGAAATGCCTTCCCTGGCAGTTTTGCAGTTTCTGTGATCACCACACTCCTCTTCTGCAAGCATTGTGATGCTGCAGATCTTGTGTCTCTGTAAATTATCTGCTTTTTAATGAGGAACATGTTTCTTAATTGCTCACCTAACAAACCCAGCTTCATCCTGGGTAAGCTTCATCCATGGCAGGAGTGAAACCAGCTGCAGAACATGTCTTTGGATTCAGTCAATTATTGGCTCTGAGGTGCCATAAAACAGCCTGGGATGCTCCTGCCTCACCAGCCTACCAGGGCTATTACTCAGTGTGTCTGGATTTCTCATTTCAGATCAATGCAGAGGAATTTGTAAGCAGGGTAAATCAGCCATGCTGTGTACATAGATTATATCCCAGCCAGCCACATCACACAAAGGCAATGTTCCCATTTGTCTCACCCTTCATGCACACATAGATTTTTTGCCTCCTTCCCCAAGATTTCCACCCACACTGGACCTTCAAGCATATGTTTACTGAACTGGAAGCTGTGCCTGCTGGCACCCTGCCCATGCAGGGGAACCTGGAGAGATTCTCTCTCCCCTCCTGCGTGAGACTTGGATTCTGCTCCTCTCCACATGAGAGAGGGAGCAAACAAGGTCACCTGGCTGCTGAGTGCCTTCCAAAGTCTTTCCCCAATCTCCTCCAAGGGATGAAGGTGAGACAACCAACAGCAAACACAGTCTGCAGTTGGGAGACTGGGGAAAGCCTTTTGGGCAGCTTTGCTGTGGGAAAACCCATCCCTGTTCCTACAGCCCTGGCTGCACCACGTGAATATTGCCTTAGCCAGGCAGGTGGGAGATCTGATGTGGTGGGACAGAGAAAATCTGCAGACATTCCCTTAGAGCAGCAGCACATTCTCATCTTGCTCAGTGGAGACCTCTCTGTTGTGACAGTTGTCACGAAAATCCATTTGGAAGAAGGCGTGAGTGCAAGGTAAACATCACAAGAATGGAGAATTCAGATAGTCAGGCTCTCCTGGTTACTCTGACCTGACAGCTTTAAAAATATGTCAGTAATAAGGAACTGGAGCTCTTATATTTTTATGTCAAACACAGCAGTGCACACCACGAAAGACAGAAGACAATTACTTATTTTGCTCCCAAGGAAAAATCTGCTGTGTGCTGCAGCCTTTGATTTCTCATTTTCAGAATAAAGGTTACTCTTCTAAATCTCCTAAATTTATAAGGGTTTAAGGATGGCATTGCTTTATTGACATCTACCAGCCATGCTCCACTAAAAAGCTTTGCTGACATAGAATTTTTATTTTCTTTTGCCACTTTCTATTTTCCTGCAGCTGAGAGATATACCATCTCACAAAATTAAGTGTTTTCAGAATGCATGTAAATGAAGCATACATTTATTTTCATTTCTGATGATGCAATTTAAATCCCAACAGACCTTTAAAAGCCTGAAAACTATCTGTACACATATATGGATATAGTAGAATGTCCTCATTTAAGGCATTTTCATCAAAGAGCAGTAACAAAGAAAAAATTGTAATATTAGGAGCCTGTGCACCCTTTTGGTACACATAAAAGAGATGCTTCTGGAGTATTCAGATTAAAATTCTCTTCTAAGAGAAACCAGAAAATACTTTGTTTAACTACTGTTTTGTGCTACTAAATGATAACTCAGATGCACTGCTTGGAAGGCATCTCTGGAACTGCCTCCTGCCCAAAACTCCCTGCTCGAAGCAGGTCAGCTACAAGAGGATCAGGACCTTACCTAGTTGGAGTTTTAAATATCTCCAGGGTCTTGGCAGCTTGGGTACAAAACTCCTTGGGTGCCCAGGGGGAGATGTGTGTGCATGATGGGATTTCTTTCAGTCACATCCCAGCTCTTGCTTGGTTGAGGTGTTTGGGAAGCAGCAGTAACCAGTGATATTGTGATTGCTGCTCAGCAGGTCAGGGATGAGCACAGGAGTCCCAGCAGGCTCTGGCTGTGCTGGGTTGGTGAATTTTGTTCTGATCCTCCCCTTTTCCAAGGATCCTCACCAGCACAAGGCAAAGCTCTTGCTCTGTCCTTGGCAGCAGAAGCCCTTGGGTGTGCACAGAGCAGCAGCCCAGGAGGGAGATCCCCCCTGTAGATTTCCTTCTATCAGCTCCTGTGCTGCTGGGTACAGCTTGGCAGCAAACCTCAGAGCATCTGAGGATATCCCTCTCCAGAAAAACAACCACTGAACATCCCAGAAGAATCAGGAGAGCTGAAGGGTCAATTGGTGATTTTTTGTGGCCTATTATAAATACAGCTGGTGCACAATGATGAGGTCTGTGCCAATGCACACAAATAAAAATGTCAAGTTTGTTTCCAATTTTAAAGGTTACACTGGGGCACCTTTTGGTATTTCTCCTCCAAAGAGCTTTGGGATGAGTCATGAAACCAGTGTTACCCCATAAATCTAACTGGTTGCAAACATCACAGTATAGTTCACGATAACAAGCTCCTACAGTACTTTCAAAAGAACTCTTTGCTTTTCCATAACTTTCAAAAGCTGTCTGACTGATGATCTTCTTACCCAGTCCAGTAATCCCTTCATGTCAATTTTATCACTGAATGAATTCCTTAAGATATTTCCTACCACTTATTACAGAAATTTGTATTTGATTTTCCTTCACGTCTGTTTTTTTTTGTTTGTTTGTTTTTGGTTTTGTTTTTTTTTTGTAATTGTAGAGTCTAAGGCAGGGATTACTTTCTGGAACAGTTAACCCCAGAAAATTCTGAGAAAAGGGAAACTTCAGAATTCTCAATATTCTCAGTAGCCTCTTCTCAGGTTTTACAATCACCAGGCTGGAGAGACAAATGCTGTGAGAATACCATGACTATCCAGCTGAAAACCAGCACTGGGCTCAAGGACATGGGCTTGGATTGCCCTGGGCAGCCTTTGGCAGCTGGAACACCTGGATTTAAACCTGTGCTTTCAGCAGTTTCTCCTCTGGAGCCCCTATCTTGAACAAGTGACTCAACACAGTGGTGGAGAAGCAAAAAAAAAAAAAACCACCAAAAAACCCCCCACCACAAACAAGAAATGCAACCCTCAAGAGCTTATTCTCTCATTAGAGAAAAAAATACAGCTGCTTTTTTAAACTTCAAATAAACAAAGAAAAACTAAAATGTGCTTTAAAGCCATTCATGAATGGAAAAACAAGTCAATGCAGAGGATTAGATAATTCATTTAGAAATGATTTGGTGGTGCCTGAAGAGCCTTTACAACTTCAGATAAGGAACAGCCTGGTTTCCTGGCAAAGAGGAGCTTTGTCACTTCACTATGAACTCATATTCCTCTGTTATACATATGTTATGTCACATCCAGTAGAAACTATTTGCAGAGTCTTGGAACTTATCTCATCAAGCCTGAAAATTCAACAGCATATTAATTTCCCTGTAGGATATTAATTTGGTTTCAGAATCTTTATGAATGTTGACAACTACATTTAGTCTCTAGGCCAAACCAGCTGAATTTACTGATTTAATTTGGGTCTCTAGAGTGGGTAAATGGAATGTTTTTTACAATAATGAGCCAAGATATGAGAGTAACCTCACAACAGAGGGTTAGTTTTCCTTAAAGATGTAAATCTGAAATCAATTGAAATTTCACCATTTCTGTATATAGCCCAAGATGGAAACAGAAGGGGTATTTGTATAATCTTTCCTAAAGGAGTCCATCCCAAACAGAAATACCATATTTCTGCCAGAGCACGTGGTGAGCCTGAATCAGTGTGGCCTCTCTTCCACCAAGGTTTCTTTCCACATTCTCTTGCTCTCAGAGACCCAGAATCATGTACAGCTATGTTAAACCCCCTCTAAACTATATATATGTGTGTGTAAAATAGGAGATGGACTCCTTGTGAGCATCACCATGGCTCATCCCTATCACTTCCAGCTGAGATGCCCACAGGAGAAGCCCTGGCTGGGAATGCAGTTGGTGAAATGCTGTGCAGAACAGCCTCACCTCCGTGTCCCATCACTCTGGAGGTTTTGCTTTGCATTTGCCCAACAACCTTTAAAAAATGTGAAACCTGATGAAGATATTGACTGCAGCTCCAGGTGTGTTTGGTAGGAAGTTAGGTGAAGACAGACGAACATCTCAGGGCAGAAAACATTTTGCATAAGAACAAAGGGAAGTATAGCAGTGAAGACATATGGAATTAATGGAAACCCACAAATGTCTGGTGCCTAGCTTACATCCATGTTTAATTCATGGATAAAGTAATCAGTTAAAAATGCATGATAGACTCATGACAACCAACAGATGAATGCATGATTATTAATGCTAAGTATGGGTCAAGGGAGGGAAGAAGCTTGGATTTGGGATTTAGGAGCAGGGCCATGAGATATCCCTGTGTCAGCAGGTCCCAGGATAGTCAGATTTGCTACTGCAAGTCAGAGCAATAAGGTGGGCAGGACTGAAAGACTCTCACTGCCCAGAAGAAGCTGAGGAGGATTCTGGAGAAGCTGCTGTGGCCAGATCAGAGCCCTGGAGTCCCTGAAGAGACTCAAGTGACAGCAACAGTGAACTGAAACAAGAGGGCAGAGAGGCAGGGCCTATGGGGATAGGAGCCAAAGGCTGCCCAGCTCAAGGTCTGGGTGTCCTGGACATCTGGGGGATGTCTTCAGCATGAAACCCCAAAATGTCCAGAGACCTAAAGGATACCAAGGTCTCCTGGAGTCTTCCTCATCCCTGGAAGTGTTCAAGGCAAGGTTCTGCAGGGCTTTGAGCATCCTGGTCTACTGGAAAGTGTCCCTGCCCATGGCAGGGGGTGGGATGAGACCATGTTTAAGATCTTTTTCATCCCAAACCATTCTGTTATTCTGTGATTCCTTATTTCCAGCCCCTCCTTGCAGGGGCCATCCTCATTTACCATGTTGAGCCAAGGGAGAGGAAGCAGAGGTGACACATCAGGTTCTTCTGTGCAATTAGCTCCAGCAAAAGGATGGTTTGATGCATAAAGATCACGTGGGGATTTGTGCCACGTCATTTTCTTTGGCACATTTTCTTTGGTCTACCACAACCACCAGAAGCTCCAAAAATAATAATCCGTGCCATTGTCATTAATTAAACAATGAGAATTAATTTTTTTTCCCCAATGGAAGCTGTGAACACCTTTCTTAGCTGCCAAGTGAGGCACTTGAGATGCAGTACTCATGCTCAGAGTGTGTCCCTGGAGGGCAGGAAGGTCCAAGTGCCTCTGAATGAGTCATTTCCATTGGGCTCATCTCCGAAAGGTGCTCAGTGAGGATGCAGTGATTTCCAAGAGGTTTGCAATCACTAAACACCACTGAGTATCAGGAACAAGCTAATGGGAAAGATAACAGCCCCTGTAGTCTCCAAAGCTCACAATCCCCTGGGCAGATTCCAGCTTCAGCCATTTATTTTGGTTTTTAAACAGAAGCAAAATCCTATCAAGCTAGAACCAGGCGACTGTTTATTAAAACCGAGCCTGGCTGCTGCTGTGAGGGTTTTCTCTGAGTGCCAGCCACGTGCAAAGATGCTTTTCTTTGATGCCTGCAGCAAGTGTTTTCTCTGGGGCCTGTGCTGGGGTGTGGGACTGGGATATCTGACACTCTGGGAGACTGGAGAGCTGTGGGGGGGACTCCAGGGACAAAACAGCCTTGGCACTTGGGCAGCATTTCTGAGTATCAACAGGCTCCAAAGCAAAGAAAGAAAACCACAATATGCTCCCTAGGAAGTGTCCATACAAGGGACAGATTCCAAACATCTCCAGTGAGGAACAAATGCCTATTTAGAAATCATTCCAGAATGGTATTTAGCTGACCTGAAACGCCTGTTTGTAGTCACACAAGCCTGACATGTTTCAGCATATTTTCCTCATTTAAGCCCATCCTCAGTAATTGGCTTTTCCAGTTGATGGTGATAAATTAGGGGAGAGCTCCTGGGTGAAACAAAATTGAAGAGGGCTGAAAGCTCAAATCCAGCTTAATTGTACATCTGACATGTGAAGAATAAACAATACCTGGCATCTCCCAACAAAACTGGCTGCCCAGAGGAAGGATCATTAGGAGAGCAAAGCCCTTGTGATGAATGTCAGTCATGTCACTTAAGGCATGTTATAGAATCTACAGGAACACTGACCACAGAGACCAATATAAGGTGAATAATTGCAGGAAACATTTTAACCTCACGAGGAGAGAATATTTGCAAGGATGAGTTCACCCTCTGGTCACAGAGCTCACACTCACTTGTTGTAAAGGACAATGTCTGGCCTCCAGATGAGCTCTGAGGGGATTCGGATGGATGTGACATTTTCATATTCCTGGGGGTCCCAGCGCAGCTTGTAGTCGTGCCACTCCTGCCAAAAATGAGGTGGTTACAAAGCTGGAAGATTTCAGCAGAAAAAACAAAAACAAACACAGAAAAACACATATTTGGGGGCACCTACCTGCTTCACCCACACATTCGTGGTCATCATTTGATTTTTCTCATCCTGAAATGCAAGATCAAATATTGGTTACAGGAGCAGATTAAGAGGCCCAAAGAACCCTCTTAATTTCCCTTAATTGTATTTCATTTACGTAATTACAAATCACCTCTGCAATAAATGTAAGTTCCATCTTGGAAATAAAAAGCAGATGTTTCTGTCATTTGACATGGGACAGGGCACAGCTGTCTGATACCACTGAACAGCTGAGCCTGCACCTAAGCAATCCTGTGAGCAGATGGACTGGAATTTATTGGGATTTTACTCAGTGCTGATGGATTCAGCCTGGGATGATGATTCCAGGTAGAGGAGAAAGCTCCCCAGCCTGCCTTTGACCTGAGCACTGAAGGAAGGGAGTGATGGATGTATGAACCCTTGCTGACACGTGTGGTGGATTCCAGTGCTCAACTTCATCTGCAAGGGTGTTCTCCTGTGAAACATTACCCATGGACACAATTCTGGAAACAAGAAGCTCAGCAGCGTTTTTCCTTCTACCAAATACATGAACGTGTGGCACTATTGATTGGGTTTTCTGAATAAACCCCAGCTGCTCTGCTGACATGGAGTTTTTGGGCTGACTGATGTATTTCCATCGATGGGTAGACTTTTTCCCAACTCTATGCACAAATAGTATGGAAAAGTAGGACTGTATATTCATATTTAAATAATGTCAGGCATTTATAATGCTGGCAGCACTGCAGTAGAGTTAATTACTGTTTGCTGCTTGTCTTTTGTGCCCTCTGTAAGTAACTCAGATGAATTACGTGGGGCACAGCCTAGTGCTGGTCCGACTGAAGTGTCCCACCAGAGCTCAGGGTTTATTGGTGTGGGGTTATTTTATCTCTTGCCTTGGTTGGCATCAAACCCAGCTGAGCTGGCAGCAAACTGCTCATCATTAACCTTGCTCTTGTGGCAGTTCAGGATTGATTGTGAGCATTAAAACCCAGAAAGTTTGGGGGGAGCTCTGTCTCATCTTCCAAGCCTCCTCATTGCTGTTGTGGCAGCAGATGTAAAACCTGAGCAGAGATTCTCTCCTCTGGGGTTAAGGACCAGAAGCACACGGAGGAAGGAGGAATAAAAAACACTTCACTGAGAAAAAAAGGGAGAGAAAATATCCAGATGCTTCTTTGAGTGCCAATGGGAGATGAAGAGTGCCATGACCTGGACCAGACCTAGAGAACCTGCTCCTCTTACCACTTTGCAATTCAAGCACCTGAGGGTCTCCCCCACAGCCCCTGCGCTGGGCATCCTGGTGTAGCAGGTGCTGCCTTTTCCTGGAATTCTCCTCCCTGGAACCACCCTTTGTGGAAGTTCCTGCCCATCACCACACCATCCTCCTGACCCGAGTGAAGCACAGCTCCAGTCCCACGGGATTATCTGAGAGGGGTTTGCAATGTGCTAATGACCAGGTTCCTCCTCAGCTGGCACAGCTGGATGCTCCTCATGGAGCCAGCCCACGGTGACTGGTGACAGAGGAGGACAGAGGTGACTCCACAGCCATGGGGGTGCTGCACTACCTGGCCCCTTCTCTCCAGGTGAACACAGTACTTGAGGTCCTGCACAGAGTCCAAGTGTGTCTCTTGGTGGCTGCTCCTATTTGATCTCCCCCCCCTCATTTCTAGTCTCAGAAAACCCTCAGCAACCCAGGGTGAGGTAAGGACATCAGGAATGTAGAGTTCCCCATTGATTTCTGTTCCCCTGCCCCCAGCTTTTGTCAGCAGGAGCTGGGGTTTGAATACAGCTCTGATTTCCCTTTCAGACTCCTTGTCGTTGGGAGCTGAGCATTGTGTCTAACAATTGCAGCAGGGTTTGCACCAAAACTGTCACTGTCAGGAAGGGGGAGAGGAGCTGAAGAGCCACAGTGGTGGCAGGAGTGTCACTGGGGCAGGAGGGGTGAGAGCTCTCCTCCAGCCATGCCCACAGGTCCTGGCACAGCTCTGCCTGCGAGTTGCACTTCTGACCACTGACATGGTTTTAGGATTAATTTTTCTTAAGTAAACTGGGAAAGCACTGTGGAGCAGGTGTATCGATCCCCCTCTTCCACAATTCAGCAGCTGCGTAATGGAAAGTCTCTCTCATGCCTCCACAGTCACTAATGCCTCATCTTTAGTCTTATCAATTATTCAGATGAGAACCATGCAACTTCAACATTAGCAACTGCAAACAGCCCCGGATCCCTCAGGCTGACGTAAGAGCCAGGAGGGGAATGGGAGAGCATTGCTGTGCTGGGAGGGGATGGCTTCTGCAGGAGGAGATGACACTCTCCAGCAACTGGTGTCTTTGATTCCTCACCTCCTGAACCATCTCAGCTCTTTCCTCTTCATCTCAAAAATCTGATTTCAAAATATAAAACCGTATGGATATTCATCTGCCACGATTGTCCCACACCAGTAATGTCTTTAGGTTGCATTATTCTTTCCATTATCAGAGAAATCACACAATGGTTTGTATTGGAAGAAGGTTTAAAGCTCATCCAGTTCCAACCCGCTCCAACAGCTTCCACCAGACCAGGCTGATCAAAGCCTCATCCAGCCTGGCCCTGAACACTGCCAGGGCTGGGACATTATCACCCCTTTCATTCTACCACATGACTACAGTAGAAAGTGACGGGGAGTCACCTCTTCTGAAAAATAAGGGGGTTGGACAAGATGGCCTTTAAAGGTCCCTTCCAACCCAAACTATTCTATGAAAGCCAGCCCAATACCTGCTCAAGGAGTGTGCAGCTGCACAGACACTGCCCTGGCAAGTGCCATGTGCAAATAGGGACAGGAAGGAGGAGAATGCAGGAGCAAGATCTGCACAAGCTCTAAAGCCTGTGAGTGTGTCTGGCATCTGCAGCCCTGCAGGGACCTCCTTTGTCCAACACTTGACCCCAGCACACTGTGCCAGAATAATCCCATAAATACTGTTCCAGTGCACATCAGTCTGCATGCACACCACTCTGTTTAGAACAGGGCACATACAGTTTGCACATGTGTAACTTCTATCTGAGTGAACACTCAGAAAGAATTTTCTTATTAATATCTGCCAGATTAGCTAAAAACCCTCAAAACTTTCATTTGCAGAAACCTCTTCAGGCAATCTCTCTTCCCAAGGTGTGCAGAGCACTGTCCCTATTAGCTTGTGTAAATTAGTGTTAATGACCATGGCCAAATTCCAAATTAGGTATTTGATTTATTCTTTTGCCAGAATTCTGTGGCGTTTATGCCAGCAGCTCCACCATCCCACTGTGATCACTCCCATGGGTTTTGACAGGGAATTTGGGATTTTGCCTGTAGTAAATGAAGAGTAAAGGATCCACTTTGATGATCAGCTACTCACATGAGTCACCAGGTCTGCCTGCACGATCTGCCGAGGGCAGAGCTTTCCCAACCCAACCCAAACCTGGATTTCCCAACCCAGTAAAGTCCACATGCACCAGGAGCCCCTCCCTGGGTGTCAGCCTGGCTAATCTTGGCCTTTGTGGCACTTACAACATCGATGAGCTGGGCGATGGACAGGCCGAAGCGGACGAGGACCACGTCCGAGATGTTGGCCACGGGACGGGACCACTTGTTATAACCAGAGAAGAGTTTCTTCAGGAGCCGCTCCTCCGCGTGGGCTCGGGTCTCCACCTGCCCAAAGGCTGTGGGGAAGGAGTGAAACACCTGCAGGTCCAAGGGCTGGCACAACTGGAGCCTTCTCCAGAGGGAAACTCCAGCAAACCCCAGCGATGGGGACACACAGCAGGGTGATGCTACCCTGGTGATTTGTCTCCCCTCTATCCCCGACATTGCCAGGTGCTCCTCACTCTCTTCACCCACTGTTACAGAGCAGGATTGGTCTGAAGGAAGTGGGGGCACCAGTAATTCCATTTACAAAACACTACATGAGGCATTCTTCCCTGAATTTGTTCTAATTTTAATTGCCACTTTGTGGCAAGTTTCTAGCACTGGAGTCTGTGAGCAGGGAAGAGGGATGCTAGAAGGGCAAGCCAAAAAGGAAAAAGCAGCCTCTTGCTGGGAGATAGGGATTTTGGATCAGATTTACAGATAAAAAAATGGCATTACATGTATCAGGAAAAAAAAGGCAGACTGAAATTCAGGTCTTTAACCTGCTTGGTGGATATTTCACAAAAACAATGGGAGAAGGAAGAGGACGGTGGAGAGCACAAGTTGGATAACACGATCCCAGTTTAGCTCAGGCATAACTTTAAAAGTTGGAGGCTGCAAGGAGCAGCCCTGACTCCACACATAGGCTCCAGGAGCTGTCAGAGGTGCCTGGTGGTTTTTAAAAATTAAAGCCACGTTTAATCCGGGGGCTATTGGAGGATCTGCACTCCTGTGCTGGCTTCCAGAGAGAGGGGAGAGGGAGCCGGGGGCTGTCCCCACGTCCCCCGTGGAATATGGCTTCTACTTAGTCTGTAGCTGCCCTGGATTATACAAAGGGAAGCATTAGCTGAGCGCTGGCTGTGCTCTCCCCAGCCGGAGCTGTAGCCCTGAGACACATTAACACACTTTATGCAGGGAATAAAAGCCCAGGCAAGAAGCAGGATGCTGAGCCCCTGCTCAGCATTCTCCCTCCTGTCCCCTTCCCACCGTGGCTTTAACCCTTTCTCCATCGAATCAGACAAGGAGCAGAAAATAAAGGTGAAGCGCTGCTCAGCAGAGGCTGGTGCTCAGGGGAGCAGAAATGATGGGGCAGAAGGGTGGAGGAGCCAGGGAAATTCCCTGCTGCTGCTCTCTGCAAGGGGGCTTTGAGCGGGGTAAGGGAAGAAAGAGCTGAAGAGCGGAGCAGGGGGAGAAGAGCTTTCTCAAACTTACCGGGGAAAATGCAGGCACACAGCAGGAGGAGGAGGTTTCCCTTAGGCACGAGAAATCCCATCGTGGAGCAGAGCTTTAGTGTGCAGAGTCTCTCGTCAGGGCAACTTTTCCACTCTGAGTCTCTGGATCCTCCAGGTTCATTCCCTTAAACTCCTTTCACTCTCTCCCTCTGGGAAGGGATAGCAGCTGGTGCTTTGTTTATTTTCCTTCTCTCTTCTGAGTGCTCTGCAGTCCTGGAAGGATGCTCTTAGCTGGGGCTCTGCTGCTCGTTCACTCACGAGTGATGTGCAGGGGCTGCAGAGCTCCTGTGAGAGCCGGGGGTGCCCAGCATCCTCCTGCTGCTCCTCTCCCCTTCCCTGCCAGCTTGGCTGCTGCTTTATTTATTTGCTGCTGCTGCTTTCAGCCTTCCCCCAGCCCCTGGGGCAGCCTTCGCTCGGGTTTTGCTGCTGATGGGCCACCGATGATGCCTCAGAGTGAGCACAGCGTGTTTGTATATTTAATGTAGTCAGACCTGCCCACCTCCTGCCTAGGAGGAGGAGGAGGAGGAGAGAATCCCTGCGCTCCAGCAAACAGGCTGCAGGGAGGAAAACTTTTGCAGGAGAAATAAAGGAGGAGATCCAGAGCCCATCTGCAGCCAGAGGTGGATGTGGGGCCAGCTGGGATCTTTATAGCACCGGAAGCCCAAACAGCTCTTAATTAACGAAAGCTGTCTCTTTAATCTCGTCCAACTGCTTTTCAAAATCACTCCAGTGTAATTAGACTGAGATATTTCTGGCTTGGGCACGTATCTTTGCTATCAATAATTACTGGGGTGATGAACCTGCCCTGCTGTACAAACACAGAGTGCAAATACAAATATCAGCGTCTGGCCACAGGAAATATTGCAAACCAGGGCTGAGACAGAGACAAGGTCACCTGAAGTTATCTGTATGTTTGAATGCACCTTAAATACATCACAAAAACTCTGTTAAGTCTTGCAAATTTGGTGGAGGAAAGGATAACTCCTTGTGTTAGCATGGAATTATCACTCCAGCCCTTCATCTCACATCCCTGATTCCTTGCATGGGAGACATGGAGTGAAGCTCTCCCCGTTTCATTTCAAAAGTAGCTTTGATATTAACACAATTACTTCTATACGGATAGCAAATGGATTTAATTTTCAGTCAGGGGTAATGTTGCCAACTGCAAAATTAATCAGAGTCTGTTCTAATAATATTAGCTACATATTTTATGTATAATAATTTCCCTGCTCCCAAAGCATCTCAAATATCTTCCAATATAATAGATTGCTCACTGCAAATGGGGAGGATTAAAGTCACAAGAGAAATTAGGTCTATAGTGAGATTATAAATAACATCAGTGTAGTACCAAACTCGACTTGTCTTGTTTTTCTTATCTCATCTCTTCCTCAGCAATTGTCAGCCTTTCCAGTGACAAACCACACCATATTTTCCCACTTTATGTATTCCTGTACAGTTGCCTGTTTTGCTTTGAGTCCTGACCCTCACTGCAGCACCTGAGCACCTGTGATATGCTATAAAAATCTGTAGTGCTCATTCTAGGGAACCATCCAGCATTAATTTAATAAGCAGCAGATGTGAGATCAAATTAACTCGGAGCTGGAATGTGGGATACATCCTGAGAGCCAGGTCCTGTGCAGCTCTGAGCACCTCCAGGAACAGGGAGCAGAGGGGCAGTCACTCCTCACCAGGGTATAAACAGCATCACTGTCACCTACTGCAGCCACACATTCCCAAAAGAGATACAAAAACCCTCCTAGCATTTCTTTAAACGCCTTTTCTCTGTGGAATCTGAAGTCTGCAGGTCCTCGTTATGTCCAGCCCTGCTCAGTTCTGACCCAGCAGAATTAAATAAGGGAATCCTGGGTTTCTGCCCCCCTCCATCAGGCCACCAGCACCAAACACAACAAACAAATAGAGGGGAACAGGATTTCTGAGGCCATTTTTCAGTGAGGCTGGTGCTCTGCACAGGTCACACACGGAGCAGCCAGACCCAAGGGATGCGAGATCAACTACTCCCTTTTGAAAACCTTGGCCATAAATAATACAAGTATCCTTGACTACAGGCCCTCCTGTGCAGAACTGATTCAAATCCCATGGACAAACCCCATCCATCTTCACCTTGCCTGGCTCTCCGTGCTGGCCAGCAGACACTGCCTTTAGATTAACCCTATAAATTTCTTTGATTAAAAAAGGATTTCCTTCTTTTGGAAATTAATCGTAAATCACTATTTCCTATGAGGGAAACATTTATCCCTCACCTCGCTGGCCATGTGGGGAATGAGCATATTTTACAGTGGTTTCTGTGCCTTGAAGTGACCTTGTTAAATCTCACTGCCAGTTTCTTTCTGCATCATTGGGCCATAACTAAATTTCCATCAGCTCCTGTGTGTATTTGGAAGGTGATGACTTCCACTGGTACATGTGCAAGGGACTCTGACTGGAACAAAAGATGCCATTTAAAGGCTTTAATGATTTTTTTTATAGTGATAGAAAGCTGCAACTGCAGCCTGATTTCCAGGGACCCAGCTCTGAGTCTCCTCATTTTTATTATCTTCCTTTATCCAAAATAGACATGGATCATTTGGGTGATCCAGATGTTCACAAAAGCTGATTCAAACATCCCAGCTATTGAAGATTCTAGGCTGAACAAAACAGAAGCAAGGCAGTGTTTCCCCAAGGTTTCCATTGAAATCTCAGACTTGTCCTTGGAAAAAGGGCAAGCCAGTAATAAGCTCAGTTTTGAGCCATTTAGTGGAATTTCATGATTTTGCAAGGATCTGGTAAGTCTTGACTGTGTCTTCTTGCATTCTGCACTCCTGCAAATCTCTTGTCTATTTTAACCCCTTCTCAAATAATTTTTATTCTATAAAGAGCCCTGGCAGAAGCAGATTGAAGGTCCCTGAGAGGTGGATGCCTGCACATAAACTATGCCTAAGCCCCCTCCCCTGTCATCACTCATTCAATATTGAAAAAACTCAGCTGCTCCAGGAGGCAGAAGCAGCTGCACTGCCAGGGAATCCTAGGATTGCACATTTCCTTTGAATTTGCTCTCTCTCCATGATCTTGTCTTGGATGTCAGAGCCAGCCCTCCAGGGCAAGCCCTCGGCCTCTGTTTGTTTTGTAAAATGTCATTTGGATGTTTAAATCTACAAGAGTGAGACATTATAATGATAATATCTCCTTACCCGTTGTCCATTTGGGCATGGCACTGAGGACAGCACAGGTTAATGGAATGCTTGAGAAACACCATCTCTGCATCCAAAAGGGATCAGGATTTTTTCCTTGTCTCTCCATTCCCTTGATAAAGATTTCCCTCTCCTGTTCCTAACTCCTTTGTCATCAACAAATGCTTCAGGTGGAGCAAAAGCAGAAGGAAGAAAACCAACAGTGAAAGGGGAGAGATCTCCTTTGAGTGAGATGTGCACTGAAATGAGCAGAGCAGAGGGATGTGCAGGGCTGTTTCTGAGCAGGGCAGGCTCCATCTGCCTCTGGGGAAACCTGCGAGGTACTGCTGGCCTCTCAAGAGTGACTCTGATTTATTCATATTCATTTCAGTTTGTTTCTGGAGTGGCAGAAGGCTTTGAAAGATATTTTTAACTAAATCAAAGATTTTTTTCACTGTGTAAGAGGCTTCTGGCCATGCAGGGGACCTGAGACACCTGCATGGGAGTAAGAACAAGAGTATAACAACAGTGTAAGAAATTAAAGGGATTCAAATCCTAATGAGCACACAGAGAGGAGGGAGAGATGCTGCCTGTAAATGTAGGAATGATTATTTCCAAAGCAGTAGATATAATTATGGAGCTCAGGGTTTTCCAAGGCTTCTCATTTTCTTGGAAGCTGGCTATAAAGCGGATGTGTTCCAGCCACAGAATTCTACCATATCCTCTTATTATTTCCTGGAGCACCCTCATGGCACTGACCAGGCCCTGCAGACCAAGGCAGGGCATTGCTAAACCTCACCCCCAGTGAGAACCCAGGTGTGCCAACACCTCTGAGATGCTCCAAAGCTGCACCTCCCACGTGATTCCCCTTCAGACCAGTGTCCCTCTCCAGGTGCACACAGTGAGCAGACACCTGGCAGCCCAGTCCTGGGTGCCTGGGATACCACAGGCACACATTGTCCAGTCAGGGTGATGCCTTAGGATTTTAGCTTTTCTATTTTTCAGATCCCTTACTCCTTTAGTGTATAACTCTAAAGCTCCACAGCCTGTTAGTTACTGCCTTCCCATTTTATTCAGACAGAACAAGTCTGGGCCTGAAACTCAAGGACACCCTACTGTCTCAGGCCCTGAAAAGTGTAAACAAAAAGTAAGCTGGGTGAGGAGCAAACTGGGGGTGTATCACTTCATTATCTGAAGCTGTAATTGGAGGATTAACCTCTGACATGTAAATGGACCAAATTTATAATTGTGTGAAAAACTCATGACCACCCATCTTGGGTGTAGCCCCTCTTGGAGGCTTTTGACAGCCCAGGGTGTACCTATTGAAGGCCTTTAATAAATCCCTGCTTTTACTCCTTTAATCTTGTCTAGCCTCTGCTCTAGGCAGCCTCTCCAAGGCATCAAGGCCCCCCAGTGCTGAGCCAGGGCTCCATCCTTGAGGAGATGCTCAGTGGGGCTTGGAGCAGAGATGTGCACACTCCTCAGCAGGGCAGTGTGGCTAATGCAGCATCTCCCCCTCCTCTCTGTGTGCTCATCAGCGTTTGAATCCCAGCACAGGAGCCCCGATGCATTAACCTTCTGTGTGGCCTTGGAATTCTCAGGCATTGTTGGGCTGGGAGCTGAGGGAGCTCAGAACCTGGCAGGATTAACTCATAACAAAGCTCTGGGGAGAATCCAGTTGTATTTACCTCTAAACAGCCTGTACTGGTGGAGAGCAGGGGAAATTCTCTCATTCCTTCTGTCTCCAGACTTGTTCCCATCTCTGTCCTCCACAGCAACACATTGATTCTCTTTTTCTCTGACCAATGACTCATCATGCCAACAAAACACAATAATCCACACATTTCTTCCTCTCTGGATTTCTCTTCTTCCTGTTG